GAGAATAAATTAGATCCAAATTAAAAATTAATCTGGAGCAATAGACTGCTTACTAAATTAAACATTGTTATTTTGTTAATTATAATAACAATGATGTGATGTATTGATAACTGAAAAAATCAGACTGAAAGCAATTAAACCATATATTTTTTAAAAAATTATTGCCACGGGGTATGAGCACAAATAATTTAAAAAAATTTAATATTGAAACAAGCATAAAAAGCATCAGAAAAAAATGCCCTGTAATTGCAGACAACCTCCAGCCACTACACACCAATGGCATTAGTGCACTTGTAAGTATAATTCTACCAAAAGGAAATAGTCAGAACATGTATGAATGCATTGTGGAGTTATGTCAGAATAGTAACATTTGCAGAAGGTACAGCAAGTGCTTTAAGAAGTTTGGTTTAAACCTAACAACTTAAGCAGCATGTTAAAATTTTCTAAAAAACAAAATAAATGTGTGTGATCATGTATTTCAATGTGTTTGGAATCAGATGGTGAAGAGAATATCGTGTAATTTACATATATCGTTGTAAAGGGAAGTGAATACCATCAGATTTTAGAGCAGCTTCATTGTAGTTCATATCTCCTAGCATTTCTTACCCCAGCCTTGAGAAAAACTAAGAAAGGCCAGACTACACCCCTGGGAATTCATACTCTACTCTTTGTGATAGATTAATTAGGTGGTGTGCTATATAGCTTTGCAGAGAATATGAAGCTATCAATTGTGATACTAAAATTACTTATACTAATACTTACATGTACTACATTAATATAACTTTTACTGACTCTACTACTAACAATCTTAAATAGTAGTTGGTAGTAGAGTGAAAGTTATATTACTGTAGTACATGTAAGTATTAGTTTAAGTAATTAATATCATGTTAGTTAAGGTTATATATGTGTGTATATATATATATGTCATACCATTGAGTGGTGGTGCTCTGACTTCACTTGCAACATCACTCTTCTTTGGAAAGACAAATTCATTAAAATACAACTGAACACGATTTAGAGTGATTAATTATTTTGGTTAAAAAACCTATAAGCAACCGGTTTCACCCCTCCCTCCCTGCAAAAACTTTTTTATGACTTTCGAATCCCATCTACTAGCATACTTTGATAGCCCTGCGATTAATAAATAAGGGTAATCACAAAAAAATTAGCTTATACTATAATGGCACTAGAAAAATAAAGCTTACTATGATACAAATGATAAATAAATGTACAATATGAGAAGCAAATCGGCATGCATGGGCAATTTTCAAACTCTAACAAACTGAAGGAAGGCCTTGAAGATAGATCTGATAAAAATATTGAAAATCTTTTATTGCACTTGTAAAATGAATACGTAATTTTCAATTTCCTTTAACAATATGAAACAATGAAAACTGGTCAATTAATTGGTATCATTCTGCACGAAAATGACATCATGCTAATTCTGTATTAAAAGGACAGAGCAACGTTTCTGTACATATTGATTTTTACAGTGTCTTTCATAATAGTGTCTACTTTATATTAATTTCTTTACAAAAATGAGACCTCTATTTTGCAATTTAGATATTTAATCATTCTTAGTTTCAAAGTGATACATCATGACAAGGAATAAATCTTAAGGTAATCACCATATTCCTCACAGAAGGCCTCAAACATATCCTTAAATGTGGTCCCCATTACTCCTTCTCCTGAGACAAAGGCTTCCCCAAGCCCAACAGTGCCATATGTTGAGATCAAGACACCATTAAGGTGCTTTCTTTTAAACATAATGACTATATCATAGTCGCAATGGTGATTCAGTATATCTGCCTGCCAAAAATAATAACATCCCATTTCAAAATGCATAATAGAATGAAAATATCAAGAACCCTTCTAAGAAGCTTATATCTTCCTTCATGCCAGATCTTGACAAATTCAGGCCCTGTCAAGTTCATCTCAATCTTTCCCATTGTTAGCTATTCATCTTTCTTCTCAGTTGGATATTACCTCTGTGGTGTTGGCACCTAGTAATCTTGAGGTTCCCTTTGGTTTCAAGGCAATTTTATACATTATAAAAAAATTTAATTCATGGTGACTTCAAACCCATTATTATGAAAGCTGTTAACAAGAAGGTTTCTTTGTTTTTGTTTTTACTTTTGTTTTTTGTTTTTTTTGGAATGGGGGGGGGGGGTAAAAAGAACAAAATTTACATATGTAAGTTTTTTTAGTATTGTGGAAGTAGTCTTGCGCAATGATATACTTACATTTAATGTTTTTAGGGAAGGGTGGCACAAGAAGGAACTTTGGTCTTTGTGAATAACAGAACACTCTATTACTCCTCTAAGAAAGTCAAAGGCCAGAATGACCCAACATATTAAATTTCTCATTGCATGTTGACTGGCCTCTTGAGGAGTGCAAATCATTATGAGTACTGAAGGGAATGATAAAGGTGAGGTTTGCACATGAGCCAAGTGCCCCATTGGGGCAGGGGCTATGCCTAGTTCAATTCATACTTTTATGA